TAGATTATGATGTATCTTTGAGTTTATCGTACTTAGAATTTGTTGAGCGTCTTGGATGTGTTGGTTTATGTTTTTCATAAGATTCGGGAAATGTGGAGCCATTATTTCTTCAGATATTCTTTCTTTCCCTTTCTCTTCTCTCCTTCTGAGACTTCAATTATGTATATCTTGATATGCTTGCTTTTTCACCTGTTAATGAGCCATACTTTCTTTGCATTACTCATAATTTTTTGTTGAAAACTAGATGTTTTAAGTAATGTGCCAACTCTGGAAATAAGAATCTCCCCTCCTCCAGGGTTTGTTGTTACCGTTGCTGGGTTTTTGTTGTTGTTCTTGTTCTTGTTCTTATTCTTGTTATCATTGTTCCCGTTCATTTGTTTACTGACTTTTCGCAACTAATTCTGGAAAGTCTGTATCCTTTGTTGTATGTGGCCACTATTTACGCTTGGTTAGCTTAGTCCTTGCTCAGAAGCTCTCTGTATGTGTTGTTCCTGAGTTTTGAAAAAGCTGATTTTGACAACGTTTGCCAGTTTCCCCTTTGTTTTTATAGAGATGAGCATTATCAAAGGCCCTTACTCCTCCAATTTTGCTAACATCTGCTATCTGGGATTTTTTGAATGAGATATTCTTGGAGACTATGCAAACTGGAACCCAATCTATATTCTTTCTAGAAGACAACTTAATATTCTAAAATAAAAACCACCATTTTTGAACTTTTTAAATTAAGCCATAAAGAATTGAGTCCCTTCAAGATATCAGAACTCCTGTCAATTCAGTTTCCAATTCTGTACATCTTACATTCCTTAAATTTCCCTATTAACAATTTGCTTGAATTAATTTTGATACTTATTTTTAAAACGAAAAAGTCAACTTTAAATTAGTGGCTCAGCAGAGTAAGAGATAAAATGTCCATTAATTAAAGGTTTTAAGATAATAATCAAGGAATTTCATTAATGGAGGCTGTGTATTTAAGGATGAAAATATCCTCCAATCCTAATAGAAATTCACCTAGCTTTCATTTAATAGAAACTTCTTATTCACGTCACATTCATAAGAGTCAACTTCACTTTTTCATATATGTGAAAGGATAAATTCTTAACCATTTAGGAATAATATGCTTTTTAGGAATCTAATAAAAACTGTAGACTCTTTTTCTGGAAAATGAACATATATACATAATTCTGCTTACAATTTAAGGGTTTCTTGGATACTCTGCAGCCTATAAGAACTGCTATTGAACAAAAAAAATATGATTTTAATGAGAAAACAGAGAACAGATATTCAAATAATTACAACATCTGACCTTCAATAGAGCAATGACAATGTAAAATATTAAAACATATAAGTGGTCTTTAACTACTATACATTTTTCATTTCAAAAGCTAATTTTTAAATTATATATTTAGAATTTATTACATATTTTTTCTTATAAAAATAATATTAGAAACAATGGTTGGGACTATTAAACTGCAAGTTTCTTAAGAATAGGTGCTCTTAAAATAGATAACTAATAAGGACCTACTGTATAGCACAGGGAACTCTTCTCAATACTCTGTAATGACCTATATGGGAAAAGAATCTAAAATATGTATAGGTATAACTGATACACTTCGCTTTTTGCAGAAACTAATGCAGCAGTGTAAATCACCTATACTCTAATAAAAATTTTTTAAAAATAGGTGCTCTTTTTACTTGTCTTTGTATCATAATGACCTATCCAAATAAATAGCATACTTTAGTTTCCCAGATGACACTTCACGAAACTTATTTTATTCAATAATGTATTTGAATACAAATGTACTAACAAGAAAAAATACTGACACAATGACAAACATTAAATAAATCAAAATGACAAAAATAAAATAAAAAAGAAAACATAAAGAATAAAATAGATTTTAAATTATCTGTTGCTTGAGAGACAGGCTTAATTAGAAGAGAATATAGGGAATTCCCTGGTGGTGCAGTGATTAAAACTCTGTGCTCCCAATGCAGGGGGCCCAGGTTTGACTTCTGGTCGGGGAACTAGATCCCACATGCATGCTGCAACTAAGAGTTCACATGCCACAACAAAGGAGCCCCCATGCTGCAACTAAGGAGCCGGCAAGCCACAACTAAGGAGCCCGTGTGCCGCAACTAAGGAGCCCATGTGCTGCAACCAAGAAGACAGTGAGCTGCAACTAAGGAGCCCTCAAGCCACAACTAAGGAGCCCACCTGCCGCAACTAAGACCCAGCACAACCAAATAAATTAATTTTAAAAAAAGAAGAGAATATAATGGTAAATATAGATATTTCTAGGTACTTTTGTTTAAACTTATAGATTCCTTTTTATTGTACTTCAAATTTCACTTCAAAATATGTTTCTTCTTAATACGACATCTCCTACCCTTAGCCACGAATAAGGTCATTTTTGGACACTAACAATTTGTAAATGCACTGGAAGGGCAAATGTTTTGGAAAAATGTTGAAAGAAGTTGGGGGTGGAGGATACTGTTCAAAGAGGTTTTATAATATAAAATAAATAACTTATTATTTATTATATATCTTATAATAAAATGTGTGCAAGTTAAAATAAAGTAAGCTAGTGTGAAAATAAGCAATAGTGTGTATAGGAACTCCACTGCAAGTTTTTTTTCAAAAGGAAAAATAGTTGTGGTAGGGTGGAGATGAAATTTTTATTCTGTTTCTTAACCATTGCGAGTGTCATTGTGCTAAAGAAGATGGGAAAACTACATTTTGGTGCCATAAATATAAAGGAACAATTGCACATTTTCATTTGAATAACATCAAACCCTTATCAAAACCAGATAAAGTCATGAGTAATATGCAGAATTCAATTGGATATCATTTAATATCTATAGGTTGTGACCCTACCATATAAGATTAATGAAATGCCCTAGTCTTGTTTTCAGAATAGGACTTGAAGACATTTACATACTCAAAGCAATGCCAAAGCGACAAATGAGTGAACTTCAGAAGACTTAACCTCAGAGACATGGATGATACGCCAACCCCATCTTTTTAAGTTTGGTGTTTGACTCCCTGGCTACGTGACAATAAATGAGATTCAGCCTGGCAGTCTGGGTCTATAGCTACAGAGATTCCTTGCTGAAGAAATCTGTCAATAAAGAACCTCAGCCAAGGGCTTCTCTGATGGCGCAATGGTTAAGAATCCTCCTGCCAATGCAGGGGACATGGGCTCGAGCCCTGGTCCGGGAAGATCCCACATGCCGCAGAGCAACTATGCCTGTGCGCCACAACTACTGAAGCCCGCATGCCTAGAACCCATGCTCCACAACAAGAGAAGCCAACGCAATGAGAAGCCCACACACCACAACGAAGAGTAGCCCCCACTCGCCACAACTAGGGAAAGTCCACGCGCAGCAACAAAGACCCAACTCAGCCATAAATAAATAAATTTCTTTTTTTTTTAAAAAGAAGAAAGAACCTCAGATAACTGAGAAAGTAATTAATTGTCTCCATAAAAAATGTCTTTAGTCTGTAGATTCAGAATTAGGTATACTGATAAACAAAATCAACATAATATAGGTATACTGAGTAATTGATTTAGACTTGTGATTTTAAACTGAAATCTTACTAAATTCATCAACAGTATCAAAACATTTAAGAGAAATAAAGATTCAACACATCTATATGTTTAATGAACTAGGTTTATACAAAATTACCTAAGTACTCAGAAAGCTTTTTGTTAAAATTAGTTGACAACTGAGGTACAGAAAATCAAATACAGTATATTAAACTTAAATGCAGTTAAAAAGTTTTAGCAAACATAATATAGTGGTGAAACCTGATTAGAAGTGAATTTTAAATTCTGCTAAATTTATAAAATAATTTGTATTCAAAAGTAATAATAGCCAATTCCAAAATATGAAACTGTAAGATATAAAATCCCTAAATCTTACCTTAAGAATTGAAAGATTAAAGCACTAAAAAAAAAAATCAGTTATTGATTCTTTTTAACAACTTCTATGAATCTTCTACATTCAGTATATGGATAATAATAATTTAGAAGGTTTCAAAAAAGTATTTAAAAGTAATGATCCTGAAAAGGGATCTGCAGGAATAGATTAACTTGGAACTCACAGTATCTGGGCTTCTACTTCTTAAAGTAAGATAACTGATTAAAATATAAACAGGCTACTCTGCCTTAGCTTTTCCAATTTAAACTATTAACTGCATTGCTCTTGGGATTAAGAAGGAAAGGACTTAAGAAGGATATGTCTTTTACTGGACTGCGAAAAAGTCTAAAGACAGAAGACAGGCTAATTAGAAACGTTCAAATAATAATTGTGCCATCTGAAGTGCGACCATATGTGAATCATGGCTACATGGAACTATGGCTTAAAACAGCAAAAAACAAACAAAAAAAACTTTTAAAATCTTTCTGTACTGTTTATAAATATTTATACATAAATATGATTAGCCATATCAATGTCTTGAAACAAAATTTTGAGTCCTGCAAGTCCTAGCAGTACTGATCTTTCAAATTTACACATATACACCATAAGTGACTTAAGCAATATGTGATATATTAGTCTTTTAGTTCTATTAGATCACAATCCTAAGGGTAATAAGTTATGGACTTGAAGGGAACTCATCTTAGTTTCTTTTGAATCTGCAATGATTATATTTGTGCCATTATTTCCCTTCTCACCCTTCCCATCCCATGTTCTATACTATAGGACTACAAGTTAGATCCTAAAAAATATATTTTCAGATTTTACTTCCTTTCTATTCAAAAAACATAGGCCAATAGCAATCCTAGATGACTTCGTAACACTGTTGATAAAATCTAGCTATCTTTCAAATACTACGTTCTAGAAATCTGACAAACTAGAATGGAATTTAAACTGTCTCCACCCACTTCCCACTACATTACACCCTCTGCTTCCCCACCCCCAGATGAAGGTTAAGTTGATAGATGGATTGGAAATGAAATAAAGCCAGACATCAAATAACTTACTTGAAATCCATCTCTTACCTTCTGTACTTAACCCTGGACTTGATGTGAACTTGGCTACATCAACAATTTTTACAGCAAATTGTTGCCCAGTTTCTCTGTTGATGCATCGTCGTACAACACTGAAGGGACCCCTAAAAAAAAAAATATCCAAGTTTAATTTGTTGATTTTCTTAAGTTTCTATTTCCTTTCAACAGTTTATTCATATTTCATTGTCTACTATAGCCATAGCTTTCAAAATAGAATTTAATATAGTTTTGAACACATTTTTCTATAAAATAAGAAACAAATTTACTTTCAAAATCACTTTTAAAAATTTGAGATAGTGTTCTTATATTCAAGGCAAATAATCTCTGTAATTTTCTCTACATATTATCAGCATCTTAAACAAAATAATAGTTCACAGTGGTAGTGTATACAACTTTTACCTTTTGAACCAGAAACTTAAATCATTCTCTCATCTTAGCCATCTAATCTTCACTAACAAGTCCTACTGAGTTTATTTCAAATATCTCTTAATCCTGTCCACTTCTCTGCATGACTCATTCTGTAGTCTAAACCACTACCAGTTTCTACTAGGACCACTGAAAACTTGTTTCTCCCATTCATTCTTGAAGTGATGCTTTAAAGATGAAAATCTGATATTATGTTTCTGCTTAAAATCCCAGAGAGAAGGTATTTGCAACACATGTATTTAGTCAAGAACCAAAATACATAAATAATTCTTAAATAAGAAAATATACTACAAGGAAATCTGGGCAGAAGACTTAAATAGACACTTCACAAAGAGAAAGCCCTACATGATTTAGTTTCCAACAACCTCTACAGTCTCACGTGAAGTCACAGGGAAATCCTTCATCCTCCTCAAACTTCAAATTAGCATTATTCTCAACTGCCATAGGAAAGGAAGTAATTTCTACTAGCAAAACCAGTGGTCCAGTCACTTTCTTACCCAGTCCTCTCCTCAATTGAAATCGGTGGCTCTCAATATTGACCATACAGTTGAATCAACTGTAATGACTGATAAAATAACAATGCCCGGTCCCAGGCATTAAAAACACAAAAACACACTCTGTTCCTTGTGATTAATAGTTATCAAATAAGTATCTGAACTAAAGATAATCCAACATGCTTGAATCAACTATTGATTAATGTAGAATGCAATCGCAATATACTGTAGTATTTTATTTGAAGGCTAGTATGGTTTAAGTTATTAAATACACACACATGTACATGTATACATGTATGGATTTCCCCCCTCCTCAGGAAACAAAACACTCTCATTGGTTTTTACAGGTAGAAACAGTACACCTGGATGCATGTGGTCAATCAGAAGACAGAAAAGTTCTTCATTTACAGTAGGACACTTATGATACTTTGGCCTTAAAGTGTAAGTTTGTCTTTATTCTTTCAGAGGACAGGCAAACGAATATAATCTAACCTAGACTTAAACATTTCTCTGAGATCATATGAATCAGTTGATTTCATCCCACTATCAATCATCAGGACATCAGTTACACTACAGTTTCAAGTCTCTCTCTTCAAGCAACCTAACAAAGCTAAACTGGAAGGAAAAGAAATGGTAAGAGCGTACCTTTCAGAACTCTATAGGAAAAGGACCTTTTTGATAATCACTCAAAACTGTTCAAAGACTTTTCTCTGTGAGAAGACAATATAACAATGTGAGTCAGGACTCCCACAAATGTTTTCATTCTCAATCTGGATGTCTTACTTGTGATTACTTATCCTGACAATAGCAAGTAATTTCAGAAAATGTTTAGCGTAATTGGTTTTTGTACACACATTAAACCCTTGGGACTCTATTTATATATACATTTGTGTAGTATGCTTCAATTCACTACACCTTTTGGATACTTTCCAAGATCTGTATGTGGGATCATTTTTGGTCAAGAGAGTCAATTCTTTACTTTTTCCTGTTTGAACAAAGGTGAGGAAGAAAACATAGCTTCTCCCCCAACCCTTTTAGTAATAGTAGAATGAAGAAAGCTAGGAAGAATCAAGAAAAAAGGGAATACTGATACAAAAAAAAAAAACACACCAAAAACGTGTTTAAGTCTGTGAATGAAAAAAAGGAACCAAATCCTTGGTTCTTTAGGCTACTTTTATAATGTGAGGCAAAGAAAATGAGTTTACCTCTGAAGTATTGATGACATGAAGACAGGTCACGAGTAAAGAGTTTCAAAGATCTGTCTCTCAGTGACATCCAGGGGGTTAGAAAAGGTGAACCATTTAGTACACTAAAAAGACACTGAAAAATCTTTTAACTTTTTTTGGGATTTAATCCATCAACTGGAAACTCAGTGGAAACTGAAAAAAATTTGAATGAGTATATAGTGTCTATAATTTTAGCAGGACTTGATTATATTTATTTCATCAAAACGCTAAAAAGACACAGGATATAAGAAAATCTGGCTTGTTTTCCCATCTTAAAATGGGGAGGAGAGTGTAATAAAATGTATGTTAAAAATTCTGTATTACACTTATTAGTTATACTTGAATGACAGTTTAAGGAACAGCAAAAATTCAGGAGGCCTAGGTTTCAGTCTGGCCTAAACTCTTTTTGAATCTTAAAATTTCATCCTTAAATTTTTAGTCTATAGTACAGTCGATTCTTGAATAATTATGGGGGGTGGGGGGAATACTGACAGAGGTAGTTGTAAGCCATCATTATAAACTACTATCTTTCTCATATTTCCACTAATTCTGGCCAGGGTATTAATCAAACTGGAATGATAAGATAATTGACGGCATTTCAGATTTGATAAAATCTATATTCTTTATCCAATTCTTTAAGAATACTGAATATTGATTGGGATTGTGGCACAAGGTTCTACTCAAGGCAGTTGGCTGCTTTCAGAATACTAAGTTTTAAAGTAAAAGGTCAATTAAACTAGAATATGTTACAATTGAATATTTGCTATTACTTCCCTAAGGTTTTGAAAAGAATGTAGCTGTGTCTCTATGCAGACACACAATAATCTCCTCTAGCTTTCATTAATGTGAAGAAAGGTCATGTCTAGGAATTGAACCATTATGATACCAAAAGTAAATACAGTTGGCCCTCTGTATCTGCAGGTTCCACATCTGTTGATTCAGCCAACCATGGATTGAAAATATATGAAAAAAAATTCTAGAAAGTTCCAAAAAGCAAAACTTGAATTTGCACTGGTAACTATTTACAAAGCATTTACAATGTATTAGGTATTGTAAGTAATCTAGAGATGATTTGAAGTATATGGGGCATATGTGTGGGTTATATGCAAATAATATGCTATTTTATATAAGGAACTTGAGCATCCATGGATTTTGGTATTGGCGGGGATCCTATAACCAATCCCCTGGAAATACCGAGGGACAATTGCACATCAAAAGTGACTAGAATTAAATAAAAGTATGCTAGAATACAGTATAATATGTTGGTCTCCAGGATAATAGGATAGATTTAGCAAATGCATCTAAATTAACTTTTCTCCCTGAACCCATTAAAATGAGAGAAAAGGGGCTAAAGAAAATGTCTTAAAGGACTGGGAGAATGAGAGAATACAATAGTAATTAATAATCAAATTTTGAAAGCAAGAAAGCAGATGGAGTAATGGTAACTGGCTTAGCATTCATAGAAACGCCAAATTGCAAGGAGAAAATAAGAAAAGTTCAGAACCAAACTCATTTACACTACAAAATTCTCAGGAAGCACCTGAAGTGGCAGCACCAGATAACTGAGAAAGAGAGGGTGGGGCTAAACACTCAAACCTTGAGTGAAATCTATTAGAGAAGCAGTTAAGAGTCTTAGATCCTCCTCCTCTACTCCATGCCACCGGGTAACTACTCTGCCTCATCCTCACAGAGGTCCATTATCTGGAGAGGGTAAAACACAGGGTCTTAGAACTGGGGACAGAAGGCAGTTGAAGAAGTGGATACTATATGAAAAGCAAGGGGTTTATGTGATCACACACAAACTGAATGTAGACAGCCCATCCCCATTTCCCATTAACAGGGGGGAATGTTAGAAGCTAGATCTTTACCCTTCAGGCAGGAAAGGTAAGATTTTCTATTGAATATGTGACCAGCCCAGAAGGAAAGACTAAAAATAATGATGTTATATTGTTCAAACCACTCAACCAGATCACCTTCCTTGAAATTCAAAGTCAACAAGTTCTTCCACAAGTTCAGAGTTTTCAATCAGCTTTCCAACCTCGGCATTGTTGGCATTTTGGGCTGAATAGTTCTTTGTTGTGCAAGGATGTCCTGTGCATTGTAGGGTGCCTAACAGCGTCTCCAGCCTCTACCTGGAGATGACAGTAGCACCCCCTCAGCCAGTTTTGCCAAGCAAAAATGTCTCTAAACGTTGTCAAATGTCCCTCAAGAACCACTGCTCTATTCCTAATCATAAGTAGATAACCAACCTCCCAAAACATCTGGAGAAGAGTCTAATTTGGAAGACAGAGATCAAAACATAAAGAGCAACTTAGAGGAAACATACTAAACAAGAAAAAAACTTCCAACTACCATTAATGTCCTTGGAAAGATACTATAACTATGAAACAAAAACAGAACTTTCAGAAGACAAAATGAGGGCTCTTGAAAACTAAATATATGAAGAAGTTTAAAACTCAATAGAAGGCCTGGCAGATAAAGTTGAGGAAATTTCCCAGAAAGTAGAACCAAAAGAAGAAAGAAAATGGAGGGGAGGAACTCAATCCAAGAACATTTCCCAGACCTTAAATCCTGAGTTGTCCAAATTAAAAGGAGCCACCAAGGGGAAAAGCAAAAAATAACATACAAGAGAACTCCCATAAGGTCATCACCTGATTTCTCAGCATAAACTCTGCAAGCCAGAAGGGAGCAACACAATATATTTAAAATGATACAAGGGAAGAACTTACAACCAAGAATACTTCACCCAGCAAGGCTCTCACTCAGATTTTTTTTTCACATCTTTATTGGAGTATAATTGCTTTACAATGTTGTATTAGTTTCTGCTGTATAACAACGTAAATCAGCTATATGTATACATCAAAAACTTTACAGACAAGCAAAAGCTAAGAGAATTCAGCACCACCAAACCAGCTTTGGAAAAATTGCTAAAGGAACTTCTCTAAGCAGAAAAGAAAA